CCCCCCCCCCCGTCGAGGATGGTCACAGGGGAGGACGCCCATGGCGACCACGGCTGTCAGATGCTGTTTTCGTGATGCCGAAGAATGATTGGTTTCATGGATCCGGACGGTGCTCTCTGACAGCACAGGGGGGAGACTCTGCCACACCTGGGAGAAGAAACGCTGGCAGGATGTGAAATGTTACTGAACAAGGTCATTCCAGGGGTCATTGTAAGACCTGTCACCCCGTCTCCTCCGTCATCGAGGAATTTACAGCCCATCCTCGTGCCACATATGGAGAATAACGCGTCTGAATTTATCCTTTGTTCGGAGTCTGACTTTAGGCTTTGTCTGCCTCTGCGTGAAGCGGTGGTGAATCCGCAGACAACAATGTCCCCGTGTACAAAGGGAAACGTAGAAGCCAAAGCAGCAAGGACACCTTTCAGTTAACGCACGTGTCGGTCTGTTAGTCTGATGTCATTAAACTGCAACTGAAGCTTCTGATTGCTAAGAAATCAAGGAATAAATCTTTAATTGCACGGGAGTTTTACACCAGATACCTCATCTGCAAAGTGCTGCAAACAAGCAGCGCATTTTCAAGTCTGACTCATGTCTAGCCTCGTCTGTGGAAAAGCAAGTATCATTGATGTCAGTGTTGTTGGTGGGGCTTGTTAGCATGAATGACAAGGCTGGAGATGTGACTCAACAACAGCAGCTCCCTCACACTCTCAGCATGTTTTTCACAACATGAGTTTAGCATGTCTGCTACAGAGGTGGGCTTCCTGACAATCCCACTCACGCAGCCCATGACAATTTTAATGATTGATCGCTCTCCTCTTGACTGCGGTGAGAATGGAAGAGAGAAAACCACAGAGACAAAAAAAAAAAAAAAAGGGGGAGAGGGAAGAAAGAGGGGTGTGGACAATCCCACAAGGTCAGAGCGATGTCCAGTCTTTTGTTTTCAGCGGTGAGATCAGTGGCCTGTGCAGCCGCGAGGGGACAGGCAGAGTAACTGGCGGCCTGGCAGGAACAGATGTTCTTACACAATGAACATGCACTTGGTTGGTTGCTTATTCACTAAAAGTCAGGGGGCTGACTTCCCCTTTCTGGAAACAAAGAAAAACACAGCAAAGAGTCGAAGCCATCCACCTGTGGGCCTGTATCAGGGAAAAATGTTGCTGAGGTAATCAGGCTCAGATACAGTATGATTTACGTCCTGCTAAAGATACGCGCGTACAACAGATGGGCGTCTATTTATGGGCGTGATAATATGTTAAAGTTGCACATAATCCTGGTGTGTGTGTTTGTGTGTGTATGGGTTTAAACGCTCTTTTTATTTATTTTTTTACAAACCTTGGGACTGGGTGGTGCTAGTTTCTTCATTAAGGCAATGTGACTTTATATGCGACTCTACATACAGTGTACACTACTCGCAACAATAATATATGGCACTCTGTTTAGCGTTTAGCATCCAGCGTGTTTTTAATGGAATACTTGAAGTCCATTATCCGCACAACAATTGTAGCAGCAGGTTAAGTTGTAGAATAATGTGAAATGGAAAATTGTTTTTCCAACTGTGCAACTCATTCATGCTAATTAGCAGGAACTGAATGATACCTCTACACTCCGACCCACGTGCTATACATAGCCCATCTGGAAAGACATCAGACGTGTGGCATTTATATTTTCTTACAAAATAACAGAATCACTTAAAGGCTCCGTGTGTAACATTTAGGTGGATCTATTGTCAGAAATGGAATATAATGTTGTATGTTTTCATCAGTGTGTAATAACCTGAAAATAAGTCATTGTGTGTTTGTTACCTTAGAATGACCCGTTTTTATAACACTGGCTGTATTTAGGGCCTTTCGTGCCTTTTCGTAGTTTCTCCGACACACTTCACAGTCCGTTCATTTCCAGGTTGTCAAATATAGACGCCTGCAGTGTTCGGTTAGTTGCAATCGGAAACTGCAGCGCTAGATGCCACTGAATCCTACACACTGGTCCTTTAACCTACACAAATTAACTCACACCATGTATATGTTTCAGTCACTCTGGACATCAGTGTCATTCTTCCTTTATTTTAACACACAGCTTGGCTCCCTAATGGTCTGTATTCCATATATAGAGTCCCTATTTATGTCAATTAAAAACAGAAATGATCTTTACTACCTGTCGTTGTGAATGTATGAACGATTTTATTATTATGCATTATTCTGATCATTATATTTGAGCCTATAGTAATAATAATTTATTTAGATTTTGTATGAAAAAACGTTTGATAGACTTTATGTTCTATGAAAGCCAAGTATACTGGTTAAGTTATTTGATTAACTATACTAGAAAAAATAAATGAACATTTGAAGAGTCAGAGCTGTTGTTTGTTGTTGTTGTAAACAATAGTGCTGTCTGTTAGATTTGGTCAGAACAGAGATATGGAATATCAAATCATCCATCTTTGCTCACTACATCTAAGCCTTTGGTTCTGAACTTCTTTTTAAAATACA